CTGCTTACTCTGGATGCCGCTGCTGAGGACAATACAGTCTCCAGCCCTAGCAGCTGTTGTGCAGGAATGTACACAACCTTTTTGCTATCTCACTACAGTACATAGTACTGGAACCTACTAGGGAGGGAAATACTTCAGCCATACCACCAGTCCAGTTTCACTCTAAACAGGTTTGATTCCTGGAAGGAGCATAGGTTGAATATGGTTTTGCTTTTTTGTTGTTGTTGTGAAGGTGGTCCATATCTCTATCAGTCTCGAAGCAGGCATTTGTCTGCTTCACTTAAAGGAAAACGTGAGCTAGGTGTTTGTTTGCTTGTTTAAATCTGTAGATCTTAGAGGTCCTAGGGGACACCTTGTTGAGTTAGCAGCCGTGTGCCCTTGCAAATGAGAAGGCCACCAGCATCCTGGGCTCTATTAGGAAGAGTGCTATCAGCAGGTTGAAGAGATTGTGCCTTCCACTTTGCTCAGTACTGATGAGATACTTCTGGGGCTATGGATCCAGTTCTGAACTCCTCATTGCATGAGTAAATTATTTTAGTTACCGCTTATTGTAGGCTTTGGAGCACCTGAGAAGTCCTTTGTCAAAATAGCTGGAAGTAAAAACTATTCCCCCTTTTAAACAGTGAGAGATGGGATCTGAGGCTGAACTGAGAGTCTCAGTGCTTCTACGGACAGGGTAAACTCAGGATGTTGTCGTGTGGCTCCATTATCACTACAACAGCCTAGAAGACTCCTTGTGTGATGCCCTGGTATGACTGGCTTTTCTCAGAGATGCTAGTGATGAACAAACCTGCTTCAGTACAGGAGTGTGTGTGGAGACCATGTTGATCCGTTGAGAAAATGTCTTTTAATTAACTTTCCAGAGCTGAAAGATGTTCTTTGTGCCCGTGGAGTTTTTCTTCTGTGTACTGAAGGCTTTATATATTTATTTATTTTCCTTAGGTCAAAATGACTCATAGCTTTGTGGTTGGTTTAAATTCATGGGATGCCCCCCTCCAGCTTGCACCTTTTTTCTTAGGAAAGACAGGGAGCAGCTGTTAGGGCAGTAAATCACTTGAGCACCCTAAAGCTGTGCCTCTGCCTTTGCAGAGCTGGGGCTGCTGGTGCAGCCCGCCTTGTGCAGGTCTGTGTTGCAGCAGCTGGTAACCTGAGGTGTGCAGCAGGCTGTGTGTGTGCCTGAAGGATGGGCTGGAAACACCAGCTTGGGTAGGGAAGGGTTCCAAAACTCAGATGTGGTTTGTGGGCTGTCAGAGGCTGGGGAACACGGTGTTGAGTGAGTAAAAGGATGGCCTCAGCAAGCAAAAGGCAAAGATCACAGCTCTGCTGTGAGATGTGGGATGATGCCACAGGGCATTTTACCATCTGGGAGTACAGGGCGTTCCTGCAAATATTATTAAGGGAGTTTAGGGAGCACGAATGTGACACTGAAACAAAACAATATCAATCTATTGGATAAATAGGAGGTGTTCTGGCAGGTGCTCCTTAAGTACCGAAGGAAAAGGAAAATATCACTGCTTTAATTCAGACATCTTCCTTTGAACCATACAGACTATTTCCTAATGAAGATTCTGCCGTAGGAACTGCTTGTCACATGGGGCAGTTGTGCCCGTGTGTGTGATGCCTCTGGAAACAGCTCAGGGACAACACAGTGCTTGTGCTGCTGAGCAGCATCTCCCACCATTAGCTGTGGCACACGTACATCTACAGCATGGCTGGGAGAAATACAGGAGAACAAATCCTGTTGTGCTTCTTCCTGACAGCTGCCTTCTGTGCTGGAGTACTGCTGTGAAGGGGAGAAAGATTTCCTTACTGTAGCTGCGTGTTTTTGGTTCAAGTCATTACGCATAGGGACAGCGAGCATCTTCTTAATTATCTCTGAAGGAAACTACACCGTGCTTTTTCTCTATCATTGTGAAATCGTGCTTTAAGATGTGACATGCTTCTGAATCACAAAGTTAGGAATTACATTTCTCTTAAAATCAGTGTGCTTTGTGTGCTGGAGATAGCTGAGTCTTGCCCAGGGGTAATTGAAACTCGTGGCGCTTGTGTAAAGAGGTCTTGACTCCCAGATGGGTGCTTGGCAGACTTGGTTGACCTACTTTAGCTCTGACCTTGATTTGCTCAGAGGTGTTTATGTACTCACGATCAGCTTTCCTGCATGATTAAGCTAGTCACGTGACTGCTCAAGTTTTTTTTCCTTCTGAAGGGATGAACAGTAAGATTTGATTTCACTGCCTCATTGCCTCTTTTCACAAGGGGTTAGACAGAAGAGATTGCACGCACGGGAGGGAAATCCTCAAGGAAGTGCTCTGAAATGGGCTGTGGAGAGAAGTTCTTGTGCGGCACCATGACCAAATGTAATCAGGAAGTGGCCTACATGGCATTTTTTCAAGTAGGTCTTTGGAGTACTTTCTCAGCGGGTAAGGTTCATAAATGGAAGATTTGGGCTTTGCTTGTGTTTATGGATAATTATTGTACTGCTTTTCATCGAGTTTTTTTTTTTTAGCCCTTGAAAAACTAGCATTTCAAGGCTGAAAAACTCAAATATTCCCTTTTCAAGAAGTTTGCAAAAAGCCCTGACACAGATTATTTCTCTGAGTTGCTGCCTGTTGGTTACAGTGGGACATGAAGGCTTTTGCTCTGCTCCTCGTGTTGACTCTTTCTAACTTTAATCCTCATCTCAAGAGACAGACGTGATTTTCAGTTCCCACAACGCTGATGTAGGGCTATGGTTGCTAGAACTGAGACAAGCGTTTAGGACATGGCAGAGAAAGGGCTGATATGATAAGAAATGGACAATTCTGTTTTTTTGAATGTAGTTTTCCTCTGCTTAAATGGCTAATGGAGTTATTATATATAAATTAACTGCTTTGAAACTTCTGCTTTGATATGAACAGAACAATTTTTTTGCATTAAGTACATCAGTGTCAGTATTGCGTTTTTTAAGCATTCTTCAATAGAACTGTGTTAAATTTAAAATAGGTATTTTCTTCTGCTTGCTTTCTTCCAGCATGTCCCACCCTGCTGTCAGGTCATCATTAGCGGTCAGTGAGATTATATTAAACAGTAAAAAGTTATTTCAACAACTGTGCTCACATATAAAGGTGGTGAGGATCTTTTGGAATTTAAAGGTGGATGCTAGGGTCAGAAATTTTGGGGAGTACTTGCTTCTAATAGATGCATCATACACTGCTCAGGGGCTTGCATTAGATTTCAAGACCAAATCATGGACACACGTTAGCCAGGCAACATATGTACAGCTGTAGCTGCCTTCTGCACCTGGCTGAGGTTGAGGATAACATTTCTGCACCTGAAACAAGAGCAGAGAAACAATCAGTGACTGTGGCTTTACTGGAGGGTTGTATATTAATCTGCAGTAATCTCATAAACCACAGTAACATAATTGAGTTGGTACTTGTTGAACTGCTTGAGTAGGAGAGGCAAAGTAGACAACTAGGAGAAGGCTGATTTAAAATGAAAGTAAAGTCTGGTCTACAGGTAGTTGTATTAGTGTGCGTGAAAGCCTTCTTGTAAGCTGTGGTCATGGAGTCGATGGCAATTCATAATTTGCTTAAAATTTGTGTTATTTTAGCATTTTGTCAATGTCTTCCTGGTGCCAGCTGGCCTCTTAGCTTGCCTGTACCAATATGCCCACACATTCATAAAGACCTGACTCCTTTTTCATTTTTGAGAGCAGGCCAATGAGGGGCTGTCCAGTGAGATGCATGGTGAGCCCTCAAAGGCGGTCTGGAAAGTCTGCTTCTACAGCAGCAGTCTTGTGCTCACAGGCTAATGATACAAAAGTCATGATTTGCCTGACCTTTAATTTAAGCACTTTGATCCCAACCGTTGCTACTGTAATAGGACTAATGAGTTTCAGTTATTTAATTCTGAATTTGTTGTTTGGCAGAGCTGAAAAAAGTGATGCCAGTATTTGGTGGAGCTTCTGTTAGCTTCTAATTCTTAACATGTTTATGTATATATATGGGATTCAATAGAATTGGTTATCAAGTGGCCACATTGATGGAATATTAGCTTTTAGGCTTGAGAACTTGTGCAGGTGTCACAGGCACTTCATCATCTGTGTTCTTGGGAAGTTCTGCTTGCATCACAGGTTGGAAAGGCAGAGCAGTGATCATGTGTATCAACCAGAAAGGAGCATATTCAGAAGACTTGCAAAAGCATTTGCAAGATGCAGTCCTAGAACGGTTTTCACATCTCACAAAGTGAGTTTTGTGGCAGGAATCTAGGAAGGAAGAACAGTCCTCTGCAGTCCATCCGCTGTCTTTGCAGCCTCATTGAGGGACACATCTAAGGGCTTGAGTTTCCAGGATGGGATGTGAATTTTATTTAAAGCTTGAAGCCTGCAGAGTAGAAAAAGAAGTTTAACCACTCTTGCTTTTGGAAATGCCAAGTGCTGTTGGAAGGGAAAATCAAATCATAAGCCCAGCCAAGATTATCTTAAGGCTATGGCTACCTTAACATTAAAACAGCTTTCCTCTGCAACGTAACAGCACTTTGACTTATTTTACTAGCACCTGACAACAAATGCTATGAGTGGAGGAATCTTATGTGATTAGCTGCAAAAACCAGAGTGATAAAGAAGGCCCAAAGGAAATGATGCTGGGAATTTCCTTCCATTCCATTTCTTGGTCTGCTGGAAATGACATCTGAAGCTTCTGAAAATGAATGGAGCTCCTATGCTTTATAAGGAAATGAATATTCTACTCTTGAGTAGATAAGACATTTTATTTCTCACTTAAAGCATCTGTTTGCTGTAAACAAACTGGCCTTGAAGGTGTTTTTTACATTTCTTATGGTTGCTGCTTTTCTTTCCATTCAGGTTTTTGAGAGTACTTGACTGACAGACTATGAGGCATGAAAAAGTTTTAAGGTGTTTAACTGCTTCAGGCTGAGCATCCTCTTCTTCCTCCAGGTGGATTTAGGCTTCCAAGAAAAGCTTTCAGGTAAAATCTTTTTGCTTCACAACTGATGGCATTCAGTAATGGATAAGCTTTTCACAGTGTTTCTTTCAGCTATGTAATGTTTGCAGTCTAGAGGTTTAGACTGTGTACTTTCTAGATGAAAAATGCACTTTACATTCTTTCGTATTTTTAACTACTTGTCTTAGACCTTCCCTGGGTTATTGGGGTTTTTGAGGGGGATATGCTTTGGTGGAAGTATTTATTTAATTCTTTCATTTTGTATCAAAATCTTTGGAATTCTGTTCCATGAAATTCAGGGGAAGTAGAACTCTCAAACCTTATGGACTTTCAGAATATGGTCATCAAATGAAGGAGAGATGCGTGAAAATTGGTTTTCCCACAAAGCAAAAGAAAGAACTTACTCTTTACTTATGTTGGGTAGCAGCAGTTCACTGGGCAGTAAACATAAGAGTAAACCTTTAGTTAAAAGTCATGTTGACAATGGGTGGAGAAGCAGGGTGGGGAGAAGCCACTCTGCATGTCACATCTTGATGAGCAAATATGGATACATAGAATGTACTCAGAACTCACACCTGAAAATACAAAGGAGAAGTCTTTAATCTTGCCCTTCATATTTGATGCGTGTTTCTTTTCCGCTGGAGGAGGAAAGAAATGGAACCATAAGATTCCAGGCCCAGAGTGATTCTCCTCCCCCTCTACTCTGCCATGGTGAGGCTACGACAGGAGTGCTGTGTCTATTTCTGTGCTCTGCAGTTCAAGAAAGACATGGAAATTCTATATGGAATCCAGTGGAGGGCTACAGGGATGCTTAGGGGCCTGGAGCAATCCCTTTTGAGGAAGGGCTGAGATCTGGGACTGTTCAGCCTGGAGTGCAGGAGGTTCCATGAGCATGAGAGGGAACTTCTTTACTTTGGAGGTGACAGAGCACTGGCACATGCTGCCCAGAGAGCTTGTGGAGTCTTCTCCTTCTCTGGAGATATTAAAAACCTGCCTGAATGCTTTTCTGTATAACCTACTTTGGGGAACCTGCTTTAGCAGGGAGTTTGGGCTAAATGATCTCCAGGGATCCCTTCCAACCCATTATGATTCTGTGATTCTGTAGCTCATGTGGGATATTTAGTACACCAGCAGCTGAAAGAAAGAGAAATAGCCTGTCTGTTTATGGCAAAAGCAAATAATGGAATTGTAATTTTTGCCATCTTAAGTGTATTAAATTGGAGATTTGTTGTGTGTATATACGTATGTGTATTTAAAATATGTAAATTTATGTTTATTAATAGTGACTTTTTTTTCTTCAACATTAGACAATCCAATGGCAGACCAAAGGATGGACATTTCCTCTACAATTAGTGACTTTATGTCACCAGACCCTGCTGACTTGATTTCCAGTTCCCTTAGCACTTCAGGAGTGGATTGTAATCGGAAAAGGAAGGGAAGCTCTACTGATTATCAGTAAGTTGGATTTCTCTCAATTTGATAATGCTGAAAAGGAGTTGCAGTGGAACAATATAGTCAGAGATGAAATAACCTTAACCTTTTCTTGACAATCTGTTGTTTAAAGGCCGTAACAAAGAAAAAAGCTACTGTGTGCTAAAAGGAAAGTTCATTATTTAGTAATAAGAATAAGGCCTTCATCTCAGTGCAGCTGGAATTGAGGGCTATCGAACGAGGTAAGGCTCAGGAAAGAAACCTTTGCATAATGAGGAAAAAAAAGAAAATAATATTGATGAAATATATGATGTGAAGGTTGATTATGTGACCGTGTACATAGGAAGCAGGATGTCTGGCCAGCAGAAGGGAAGCTAATAATTAATTAGAAAGCAAAAGCAAAACTAGGAATAGTTCCTTCTTTTCACCTTTTTTTTGCATTTTCAGTCATTTCCTGTCCAAACTTTGCCTGATGGGGAGCTATTTTGGTCTCCCAATTGAATATGAGTCTGAGGAGTCTCTGGTTTGCTGCAATAGGACTGCCTTTTGTTTTATCAAGTGACTTAATTTTGTATTGCTCTCTGGTTGCAAACTATTATTCCTGGTAGAATAAAAATTTGGTTTTTTGTGGATCAGTGGTAGTATGTTTCCATTTCAAGAAAGCTGCTTCTCTTGAAAGGGATGCATGCTACTAACAAAGCTTAGAGGCCATCTAAGCCATACCTTCTGTCTTAGGGCAGGTATTTGAAACAGAAAGAAATCACACCTATTGTGCTTTGGAATGGTGAAAGTCACAGTAATGTGTGCCATGTTTCTAACTGTGTAATGTACTTCTGCTCTAAGTACACCAAGACCAACATGCTTACTGCAAGTTACTATGCAAACTTCATATCAATTGTAACTACAAAGCGTAGCTGCAGGGTAACCCTTGGATAGGCCCCATCCATTATTAACACAGCTACATAATCCATTTCGATGTAACTTGGCACAGATTTTATCATTGTGGGCCTTCTCACAGTTGGCAGTTCCTTCTATGTTAATCTGTGCTGAGGATGCCAATTAAGAATTATGTTCCCTGTGCACAGAGATTATTTTTAGGAGAAGTTAGGTGCAATACTAATTACTGTGTACAGACCACGAGTGTACTGCATACGTAGCTTCTGTAATATAAGATTAGCCTTCTTGAAAAGTACATGATTCCCTCTAGTTGAATTGACTCCTACAAAACTCAATGAAAAGCCTCAATCTTACCAACTTCCTCTTCTCTAGAAAGGATTTCTCCATCTTTATACTTCTGAGTAGGAAGCATTGCTCAAGTCCTCTTTTCCAAAAGACAGCTTGCTCTTGTAAGTTCTAATTCTGCCCTCTAGGTTGTGTGTGCATTTTATTAAATATGTGAAATGCTGTTTCCTTGAGTCAGCTTACAACAGCTGTCATTGTACCAGAGTTCATGTTTTGTTGCAAAGAAAATGGTGATTAGTGAATATTCCTATTTTTAAGTAGAACTTAAGGTAGAATTCCTTGATCCCTCTTTCTATGTGTATGTATGTATAAATGTTCAAGAATTGCTGCTGTTCAACTTTTGCTGCCTGTACAGTTATTTATTTGGTTTTATATAAATGGTGTGTGTCCAGTTTTACTCTTCATTTACCAATGAATTCAAGATGTGAGGAACAACCTGACTGTTTTAGTGTGCATTCACTTGTCAGATCCAAGCAAGCTTATTGGTCAACAGCAATTTCGTGCCAGGTTCCTTTCAAATCTTCTGCTGCTCCTTTCCCAGTGAAATTCTTCTTCAGCATACTGATATAATTCCAGCTAAGGTTATCTGTTCTCTGTTCCAGTGTGTTTTAGTCAAATGCTGGAATCCAGGACTTCATGCACAGGTCTATACACACGTACTTTCTTTTGTTGGCAGTAGTGTTTTAAGTTGGAATAATATTGATAAGAAATGAAAGTATCCTGAAGCATTTATAAAGTACCCTGTAGCCAGTATAGAAGCCTCTTCCATATTTTGCTTTGCCACAGGAAGCATCTTGTAGCTAAAAGTGGCACTACGAGTGGAGAATTGATGCCTCATTTCTAAGTCCTGCTGTTTCTTTGTGAGCATCAGGAGCATTTTGAACTATTAGCTAACTTAGTAACTCAAATATACAAATGGAGAGATGAAGAAAGCCTTTAGCATTATTCACACTTCTTTGAAACCTAATGACAAAGGTGATGAATTAAGAGGTGCAGTGAATAACATGTAGAAAAATTTTTAAGAATGCTAATGTCCAGTATTGAGTGGGAATAAGTAATATATCAGTGGCTAATGTGAGAAGTTCTTCCATGAGGCTTTAATGAAACCTAGTTTCTCAATATATTAAAGCTCAGTGGTATTTGAGATCATTTTACAGACTTGAAGTGATGGCAGCAGTTAATTGCATATAAAAATTTGTTTCATTTTTCTTTTGATACAGTAAAATCTGTATAAAGTTCAGAATTAGGACTTAAGTACTGACTAAAACAAAATGTTCTGCTGGGCAGAGTAAAAAACTGAGGTAGTAGAGATGCATGTTGGTATTTTTTATTGCTGGCTTTCTCTGAAACTCCAGTTATCTAACCACAAGGCCAGCAGGCACACAGCATGGATCTTTTGTTTCTGCTGACGAAACAATATCTCAGTGATGTGCATCATAATTTATATAATAAATTTGGGTCAGTTGTTGGACTGATTTTTCACATGCAGTGTAATGGACTCGATGCCTTCAGAAAACAGATGAATTTGAACAAACTTGGCTCCTTAAAATACACTCACTGCTCATGTCTTTGTTCTTTTTCATTTTGAATAGAATATAAATTAGCTTGAGAATTTCAACAGAAAATGAAAGACATTATTATTTCATATAGATGGTGTACTTTATTTCTCTTTCTTTTCAGACTTGATGGCTTTCCTTTTGAGTAAGTATAAATATTTTTATAATTGGTTTCACTTGAAAAAAGATGCTTGATGTTTTTCCATGCTTTTCTGATTAAAAAAAAAACCAACAAAAACAACAGAACAAGGCAGGCTTAGGATTGCCCATGTAAGTGCATTCGTACAGATTTATCTATATCAAAACATCCTCTTCCTCATTCTTTTATCTAATAGCCTTGCAGTGTTTGGCATTTTTTTTTTCAGACATTGAGAAAGCTGTACTACTTTAAAATGTGCCTGCTTAGCTTTATACACACTCCCATCCACCCTGTACATTTGGCTATTTCCAGTGTTGCAGTGCATTATGTGATTATTGCCATCTCTTATTTCAAAACCAACCACAGCGAGGTTTAGGACACACAGACATGAGTGAATTCAGGGCAAACTGTGCATTCTGTACTGGGCCTTGTGATAATTGCCTGTGTTGAAATGTCTAACTGTAGTAAATGCAAGTTAATAGCCCTCATTCTGGTGAGGGCATGAAAAAGATCTGCTTTGATAAGTCCTTTTTGTCTTTATCCCTCTAGTTAACTGAAAAACATTTTTATAACAGATGATGTCTTTGAACTGCAGTATGTTTTACTGTCAAACACATCAAACTGTGCCATTTTGTTTGCTTCAAAAGAAATGCAAGAAAATGTTGTAATACTACAGAAAATGCTGTAGTTTTTCCAGGTTATTGCTTTTAAATTCTTCTTTTTTTCAGGATGTAAGGGTGATTGCAACACTTTATTCTAATTGTATGCTAGTTTGCTAACAGCCTTGCTAATGCTGCTTAGTTTGTGATATGTTGCTTTATTCTGTTTTTGCAGGGAAGGTATGGATACAGATAAAGATGACCAACATGGAAGGTACTACAGACATGGTCACTACACTGTTTGCTTTACAGTACTGATGTAGGACCTGTTTCCAATATCATGGTCAGGTGTCTCAAACTGTTCCTTTTTTGGAACAGAGGTATAAAATCATTGCACAAAGTAAAACAGTTAAAGAAAATATCCAATGCTTTGAGCCCTACCACAATATTGTTAATAATGTTATTTTCTGAGGAAAGGCTAAATAAATATTCAAATCTTAAAAATCATCTTAATGAAGATCATTAGGTACATAAGATCTGTTAAAAATTGTTTTCAGTACTGTAACTTTGTGATATCATTTCTTAACAGACTGGAGTATGCAGACCAACAAGGGAGAATAAAAAATGCAAGGTAACACTCTGAGCAAGCATGAAAAGAATTTGCCTTTTGCCATACATGAAATACCTGTGTGTGTATTTCTTTTACTCTGAGAATTCTTTTTCTACCATGGACCTTCTCCTTGTTTTTGTTATCTTTGCATTGCTGACTTTTTTCATATATAAACTACACGTAGCTTTGTAGAAGTGATGAAATGTAATTTTATTTTAGCCACTTCTGTCAGTGTTAGCATGGAAATTGTAGCCTGCACACGTTTCTTAAATATTGCATTCTTTCAAACTCAGTAGTGGGTTACAGAGTGTTAATAGTGACTCCTAAGACGTGAAAATACAGAACAAAAATTAAATGATTCAGTGTTTGTCATCAGTTTTCCTGGTTAGGGGAGAGTTCAGTTCAAAATTATCTTGGATATTTCAAAAGGAAAGCTGTAGGATGACTAGAAGACTTACAGCCTCAGCAAAAGATAGTTTTAAATACTGCTGTGTTGATGTAGCATGCAAATATGTAGCTGAATTCATCATTCAGTGTACTGTATGGGCAATGCTATGTGTGTTTTCTGGTAAATCAGAGCCAAGTGCTGCAGCCTTTCCTGTAGCTTGTAACTGTTATCACTTAAGTCATGAGCATATTATTCTCTGAAAAAGTCTGTATGTACATTTTATGGGGCTGAGAGGGTGAATGAATTATGAGGATGTTATTTTTTTGTTTTATTGTATACGATTTGGGGATTTTTCTTTGTTAATACAATTTATTTTCTCATGCTCTTCTGTTTTTCCCTCCCACCTTGCTTGTTTAGGGAGGCTCATAGTCAAATTGAAAAAAGGCGTAGAGATAAAATGAACAGTTTTATAGATGAACTGGCATCCTTGGTACCAACGTGCAACGCTATGTCTCGAAAGCTAGATAAACTCACTGTATTGAGAATGGCAGTCCAGCATATGAAAACATTACGTGGTAAGTTGATTGATGGGGAGCAGAGAGAACAGGGCTGGAGGGTGATAAATGGGGTTCCCCCAAAGCTGTCTGTATTTTTGCTCTCCATTTCTTTCCCTTTTGACAAAAAGTGAGTAACCCTAGTCTTGTCTGGTGTGGTTTTACTTGGGGAATTTCAAGGGCTTTTATTTAAGGGAATGAAAGAACTTGTAGTTGGTAAATTCACCTGAGCAGCTTAAAATTAGCTGTGTTTTCAAGTATGAGGGGGAGATGTGGAACCTTCCAGCAAAGCAGGTTTTAAATTTTGGAGCTTTGAGGGTTTCATGTTTTTTGAAGAGGTGGCATTTGAAAGATGCATCTTCTCAGTCTTCTGTTGTAGCAGTTGTTTTTTCCTGTGTAAAAGAACTGATGTAAGCAAGCTACCCCTATCCTGGAGCTACTCGTTCTGCTGGAGCCCTGTATTTGCATCATCTCTACACTGTGCTGGTTCAAGATTAAATTCTCTTTGGAACTCTTTACCTAATTGTCTCGTCTTTGAACGCTTGCAGCAGCACTGTCATATACTTAGGCTCTTCATCAGATGCAGCCACAAAGATTTTTGCCTTTTCTCTTACTTCTGTAGATATCATTACAAAAAGAAAATAGAATTTATTTTTATTTTCTGTCTCTTTCCTTAGAAATATATTCAAACTTATATCAGCACTCTTTTTCCTACAGAATCTGTGAGAATGCAAAACATGCCTTGTCCTAGAACAAAGAAAGCAGTTTGTGTGGGCTACCAGAGTTTGTGGTAGAAGTCATGCAAAGGCACATGCTGCCAACTGTACGTTCCAGCTCAAGGTGTGGTTAGTTTGTTTTAATAGCAAGCACATAAGAGATGCAGCCTCTCTTTCCCCTCTCTCTTGCAGCTGAACAACTGCAGGATGACCTGCTTCATGGACTGATATCCTGATCTAGCAGGGAAGTTTGTGATGAGGAAGGAATAGTTTTCTGTTAGCTGATCTGATGGATTAGCATCACTGAATACAGCAAAAAGCAAGGCAGCTGAGCTTGTGGGAAGGAGGAACAAGGGCTTTGATTGTAATCCACTACTTAATCTTGCATGGCACTGATCACTGTTCTTAGGTAGACCATGTGCAAGACTTGCTTGGATAGAGAGGTTAGATTTTAGGTGTAATATTGCTGCAGGATTTGTGATGTTTTGTGCTCATACCTTCAGCTATTTGTGGAAGAACGAGGAGTATTTTGAGACTTCAAGTCAAGTCTTTTTATTCAGTTGCTTTTACAAGTACTTGAAATAGGGAAATATGTGAGTTTCAAAGAGCTGGGGCTGTAACAAAGTTCTGTGTGTCCTAAAGCTCCATATAAGAGTGAATCAGTTGCTGGATACAAACTGTGATAACAATGAAAGCTTTAAGCCTTCAAGAATTACGCCCCTGAAAAAGGATGCTGCTAAGTTACAGAGTCACTGTTGTAGTTTCTAGGAGACCTGGCATCTTCCAGTCATGTTTATCCTAGCATTTCTGTAAGGTGTAGCTTTTCCTGCCGCTGTCATTTGATTAAATTAGTATTTCATAGCAGATCAGTGGTTGCTGATTTGACTCTCTTGCCTTTATGAAGGGAACAGGATGAAAGTAATTACTCTCAAAGAAATAGATGGCTCATTTGCTCTGTTTTTTTTGCTTTTTGCATTGGTAAGTAAGGCCAGTGTAACATCTGTTTTTTGTCAATGGTATGGAATGAGAACTGATCTGTAAGCTCCTCTCTGACAACCTTTTTATGTCACCTCATCATATTTTTATTCCTTACTTTCTTCCTTTTCATTTCTTACTGGAGATTAGAACATAAATCAAGCAGAACATTTAGGTCAAAAACATGTCAAAAAATGCTTACATCTCAGAAGTCATTTAATTTGTGTTACTGTGTAATGCAGTATTTTTGCTTGCAGCTAAAAATACCAACAGAGTTCATCATATTAATAAAATGAAATAAAAAATCAACTTTCACTTCATCTGTTCTTTAAAATGAATACTGATGTAGAAAGGAATCAAAGGGACGTTGCTTATTGAGGTGTGTGTTGTTTAAATCACAAATTCTGATCTGGGGATTTTGTTTTTCTTTAGGTGCTACAAACCCATATACAGAAGCCAACTATAAGCCTGCTTTTCTGTCAGATGATGAATTAAAACATCTAATACTCAGGGTATGTTTCAGCTTTTAATTATGAGATATTAGTGGCTGTGAATGGAATTCTTTCATGGCAAAACACCAGTATTTTTCTGCCTGTTGTCTGAGCTTAAGAATGTTGTGATAATAGAAGATAACATAGAAATCTGGAAGACCTTTGCACGTAGTCATTAGGTTTTAAAGATGAGTAACAGCTCTGAAATTAAGCAAAAGGATTTTAGGGGGAGGTCTGAAGAAAATGTTAAGATAGTAACTATATGAATTTTCAGTTATTTCATGAAATAGACTAAAATTACATCAAAAAAGAATTCTGACAGACTTTCTGCCATGTACGACCTGGACAAGATTTTTACCATATGATGTTATAGGAATGCCTTGTTTTGAGGTCACTGATGTCACGTGGCATGGTATGTTTGTATCCCTGCTGTATGCATTTATAGCACAGAGAGAACATATTGCTAGTGTAACTTGTCAAGCACTGCAGTGTTCAGATGCAGCATGTTTGGAATTTAATTTCTTCAGCATTGTGTCTTTAGAGCTATAAAGGTAGGGCCTAATCCTGCATGCTTGTATGTGGCTGAGAAATAGGACTTTCAGAATGGGAACAATTTGCCTTTGGACACACAAATAAATACCCAGATTATTTTGGTTTCCAAAGTAGGAACTCTGGAATAAATGCATTTAAAATAGTATTTTTTAAAAAATAGACATTATTAAACATAATTGTAATATTACTGTACAAAATATGGATGCATTCTTCTAATAAAAGTGATTGCAGATTCTGGGCATAATTCCCAGAATGATGCCAGAAATGTTTGCAGATGAAAAATAAAACCCCAAAAATGTAATTTCATATCTTGTCTGTTGACTCAGTTATCTCTAAATGTTAAGAGAGTTCTCCTAGTGTGGAAATCCTGCTATATACAAAGTGGTTTGAAAGGTTCAGTGATGCATTGAAGATGTGTAACTCAGTAATTCACTTCCCCTCTGCTCCCCCTTCCCCCAAATTAGGCAGCAGATGGATTTCTTTTTGTTGTGGGCTGTGACAGAGGGAAGATACTGTTTGTTTCAGAATCTGTCTTCAAGATCCTCAACTACAGTCAGGTATTTTTTTCCTTTTTAAGTAGTGTTGGGCCTTAAAAGATTTGAAAATGATTTTATTATTATGCATTTGATGGGAGGGTTTGTTTTGTGTGAATAGTCTGTCCTGAAAGCTGAGATTTTTTGCAAAGAAAACTTTTCTCTGTCGTGCTATTAGACAAGATTGCTTCTGGCTTCCATTCAAATGAAAGAGGTAAAAAGGTACTAACTTTACTTGACTGATTGTGACACATTCTGTTTGGGTTTTCACCATCAGGCTTGCAGAAGTGTTCACTAATTTGGCTTGTATGCATATATTGAAAAATTGGCCTGAGGTTTTTCCAGTAGCATTACATGAATTTTTCAACCTGGTTAAATTTCTGTTCTGTTTTTGCTAGCATTCTCACTGATGGAAACTGGGAAGCAATTGTAACAAAGCCAGGATTTTGATATATGATTATTATGATTTGATAAGTGCTTATAATGTGAGGCATAACTTAGAACATACATTGTATAAGTAAGTTTTCATTCTTTCTGTTGCCTGCCCTCCTTTCCAACTTGAAAAACTGCATCAGCTTCAAAAGTTTTCATCAGGCATCCTTTAGTTAGGTATTTACTAAATAGCAACTAATTGTGTAAATATTAAAAAAAGAACATTTGCAATTATGACTTGAAATGTGTAGCATACAAAATGAAGCTGAAAAGAAATGAGAATATTTGTTGGTGGTGGATTGAGCATGCTATTTTTAAAAAAACTCTTACTGAAAATAATGAAAGTACTTAATATGAAATGTAGCCATAACTGCAGTGAATACTAATTCCTTTTAATCCTGGATCTGAGATGTTTGATGTTCATTGGTTAGACCAATTCTTTATAACTGATGCTAAAATTGGGAAAATATACAGTACAGTTATTTTAATTTTTGACTGAGTTTTCAATCCCTACAGAATGATTTAATTGGTCAAAGTTTATTTGACTACCTTCATCCTAAAGACATTGCCAAAGTGAAGGAGCAGCTATCTTCTTCTGACACTGCACCACGAGAAAGGCTTATAGATGCAAAAAGTGAGTGTTCTTTCCTTTGAACAATATTGCCATATGTTTGATGAACATGCAAAGTGTTTGTGGGGGGTTTGTGTTTGGATTGCATGTCGTGCCAAGGAAGAGAGAGAAGAGAAAGTATAAGTTAGATTTCTGCAGTGGATGCATTTGATTAGCTGGCTTCGCTTGTGAGGTACTGTCTCTTTTCCAGGCATGGAAAGTTCTGCTTTTTTTTCCCACTGAAAGTGTTGTTCTGATCTTTCATTCTCAGTGGTCAGAATACACTGAGTATTATTTTGGTTATCCATAGTTGTCAGTTGCAGAAGAGGACCTTTTTTTTTCCCAATCCCAGCAATGACCTAACCTTTCTCTTACAAGGTTTTTTTACTCGGTCCTTGGAATCCTTTCCTCCTACGTCTCTTACTTCTACTCCATTGTGGTGTTTAAAAGTAGTTCTGTATCTGTGTTGTTTAGTAGTGTGTGGGTATTTAATTAACTCTTGTAAAAGGAGTCTGCGTTGCTTAAGTAGGAAGTGATATCTTATAACTGCAAATTTCCAAGTTGTTCAGTCTCATGCTTGTTAGAAGCAGAAATCTGTAGGACTTCATCTCAAAAAAACCACCAGCTCAACTTCAGAAAGTGGAGCTAGGGGTCATTCCAGGGCAATGAGCCCAGAGGCTCAGGCTGGCTCAGCTGAAGTTTCTCTGTCTCTTGGCTTTGCCTGGTCATCAAACACGTGTATCCAGTGCTATCCTTTTTTCTATATGCTCTGACAAAGTCAGGGCAAAAATAAAGACCACAGCTTACAGTTTTCCTATCTGCTACAACAGACCAACTGGTAAGTTCTCAGTAACAAATATTCTTAAGAGTACTGATGTTTATTTGTATTTTTGTCTTGGCGTAAGTGACTCCCGTACAACTTGTACTTTCACCAGTGAACTGCAGTTTAGACTGTGTGTGGTGCAGGACAGTCTGACCTCTCTCAATTCTAGTTTCCACAGAGGCACTCTTAACACTAAAACATCAGCATCATCATTTTTCTTCTTGCATTAAAAACCAGCAGGATCCTGGAAGGTTTTGTACATGTTCATTTATACACATCCCCATGCAGAAGTGGTTGAAGGACAGCAAGCTGTGGAAAAGTTGCTGTGTGATTTAAATTCATCAGTTTTTGGAGAACTGTCCCTTGAAGCTCCTTCTGCTTTGCTGATACCCCATGCTCTTAATGTGCTGTTTGTATCAGCACTCTGTTGTTGGTTTCCAGATTTGACATGCATTTTCAAAGAATTTTTTCTCCAGTGGTTTTCCACAGAAAATAACTTAAGATTCTCTTACAAGTATATGACGAAGGTCAGTCCTCACTGATAGGGCATATTCATATGAACTTAACTCTTTAAGGACAGAGATTCTTCTTACACATAACAGGAAGTCTTGGGGATTTGCAGTCCCTGTGTATGTCACTACTAACCTTTCCCCCCTCCATCGTGGAATCAGACAATGGCTCATATTGGAAGGGACCTTAAAGCTCATCCAGTTCCAACTCCCCTGCTGTGGGCAGGGACACCTCCCACTAGATCAGGCTGCCCAGAGCCCCATCCTGCCTGGCTTCATTGTCAGAAATCTGGTATCTGGAGACACTGTAGTTGAGAGAGCCCTGGGATGGTACTCTTTGCATAAACAAAGGTGCTCTCTCAGTGCATTTTGTGATTTTAAAAAGTCTTCTGATAGGAAGGGCCATGGGTATATTGAATGACTATATGTAAGAAGTACTGCTCCACGGGTAAATAATCTCTATTTTTAACTAGTTGATTAGTGTTCAAAGAAATCATGTTAATTGCAAAACTTGATTGGACATTAGCAGTCTATTTCTAATCTTCTAATCTAAGGCTGTGTTCTCATGCTCACAGTAGAAAACGTAATCAGAAATCATTCCAATATTCATGTGGTGAGCTGAGTATCCTGCAGATGGTCACTTAAATAAAAATCTCCACAAGAGCACCTCTGCTTCTGAAGGAGATAGAACAGCTGTGAAGTTAAAGCCTCATACAGTTTGGTTACATGATGTAATTGTATGGTTACCTTTTAACCCAACAAAGGCAGCTTCCTCACTTCCTCTGTTTGCTACAGCTGGACTCCCAGTTAAAACTGATATAACACCTGGGCCATCACGACTGTGTTCTGGAGCAAGGCGGTCCTTCTTTTGTAGGATGAAGTGCAACAGGCCTTCGGTGAAAGTAGAAGACAAGGATTTTCCTTCAACCTGTTCAAAGAAGAAAGGTAACGATTGTGTGTTTTAATATCAAATGTAATGGCTGTCAGGCTTTTTTTTTATATAACTGCTCACTTGCAGTGGTTAAGTTCTTGATATTTATTGAATAGTATCAATATTTATTCTTAAGATATTGTTACATGGTCTATGTTTTGATCTGTTACTTTTTTCTTTTCATACAGTTTCCATTCCACACTCCCCTTCAAATGTAGTATTTCTGCATCTGAAATATTTGGTCACAATGTTATCTATGGTTTTAATTAATGTATTTTTTTTTCCTCTGCAAGATATTATTGCAAATATGTTGGAATACATGTTTAGTCCAAGGTTGAAAGTTTCTTCTTTTGAGCACTTTGGACGTTTTATATTAGTTAAAGTAGAAAGTGTCAACTAGAGACAGTAACTTCAGTGTTTCGTCTCTGGATGTGACAGCTGCTCCAAGTACTGCCCACTAATTTCAGACATAGCTTCAACCTTTTATCACACCTTGGTGCTCAACCCTGAGAAAAGTGCTTTGTGCAGTTAGGCACAAGGTTTTTTTTCTCTGCCTTTCTGCCAAAGCTTTCTTCCTTGCTGTCGTAAGGCCTGCTCAGTGCTGAGTAATTTGAGTTCTCCTTTCAGAGAGCAACTGTACTACTTGTCACTGTGAACCTTAGTCTTTAGCCCTGTGGACAGCTTATCTTCTGTATGCCCAGACTGTATATTTTCTGGCAGCCAAATTGGTTTCATTTTTTTGTAGGAGCCTCATGCTAAGTTGAAAAATATGTCTTATTTACTTATTAGTAAATATAACACTAACTTCCTCTAACTGTCTGTTAGATTACTAGCACTATTTCACTCGGTGAAATAATAAGATGTAATGCAATTTCTACTTGAAGGAGATCAGAAGAGATCTTGGTTTGAACTAAGTGGTGGTTCACTATTATCAATGATTTTGTTGAGGTAAACTGTATGTTGACTTACCTCAGATGAGTTGCGCTGAAGCAGAAGTACTGAGAAATCCCCTGGTGAGGAGGATAAGGATAAGGAGGTGAATATTCTCAGAACTGAGAGCTGAAGTTCTCCAAAAGCTGTATTGGTAGCCTAACTGCTTTTTTGTTCTTGTCTTTATAGCAGACCGCAAAAGCTTCTGCACTATCCACAGTACAGGATATTTAAAAAGCTGGCCACCAACAAAAATGGGACTGGATGAAGATAATGAGCCAGATAACGAGGGTTGTAATTTAAGCTGTCTTGTTGCAATTGGTCGCCTGCATCCTCATGTAGTACCACAGCCAGTCAATGGTGAGATCAGGGTGAAACCTACAGAGTACGTTTCTCGACATGCAATAGATGGAAAATTTGTTTTTGTAGACCAGAGGTAAGAATACTTCAGATAACTTCCACAGTGAGTTGCTGTCCAACATCGATTTGCTGCTAGTGTGATATACTTGAAGAACTGTAAATATTATTGAAAAAAGAGATGTATAAAGCTGAAAAGATCAGACTAAATCCCAACTGTAAGCTATTCTGCTTTTGAGACATAGCGCAAAGCGACTGCCATGTATTTATTAAGTACTTCTGATTAAATTATAAAGGCTCCTAAACTGTGGCTTACAGTTTAGGCGGTAGGCAGAATAATCCAGATATCATTTCTGCCCATTTATTAGGAGGATGTATATATGTAATCCTCAGAAGAATATGCTATCCTATTTTACTACTGGAGTTTGTAATTACAGCAGTTGGTTGTTTGATATCTCCTGCAACCACTACATGGATAAGTTTTATTGCAGAGGCTACATCAGGCTTTGATAGTGTGCTCATTTCTGTAAGCGTCTACTTGGGCGTAATCTACTGAGTTAATACCTCTGCATGTGGTCTTTTGTATTCACAAGAAATAAAACTTTTCATAAGCTTTGCTTCTTGGAATAGGTTTGAGAACGTGGAGCAGCGTTGGCATATTTTTTCAAACATCAATTTTATTATCTACTTCTATATTTATTCAGGTTAATTCTTATTACTGAAAAATAAATTGTAACATTAGAAAATTCAAGCAAAGAGATGTGACTGGGCCTTCTTTCAGAATAACTGACATTTTCGAGGGAGGAGTGGTTGAAGGATGTTAATGGAGGGTTGTGTTGCTTAGGAAGGGCTCTTTTGTTTCCCTTCCGTGCCAAGATGGGTTGAGACTGCTGAGCTGAGACTGGTTCATGTTGTGTCTGTAGCTTAGGCACGATTATTTACAATTTAAAAAAACTCAGGCTCCAAATTCTGCCAGAATCTGCCTGCTGGAATTTGTTCCTGGGGTGTGTCTATGCTCAGCTGATTCCTAGTGGACTTTGAGAGGAAATTGAGCTGGCAGTGTTAAGAAGCACAGTAAGCGATATCTTTTTTAACAGCGTGTCTGATTGTAGCGGTTGTTTCTATTTTCTCTTTTGTTTTTAATTTCACAGTAAGTTTTTTGAAATGTTCTGCAGCAGTACTGCTAGCTAGTGGTCATTATGGGAGCTGGCAGAACATTCACAGCCTTTCTGCTGCTCAGAAAGTGTGTCATGCTGTGATGCCAAGCGATGGTAGTTTGTGAGCAAGTTTTACTTTTAAAAGATGAAACCTACTCTTCCAATATCTTCCAAGAGATACTGAAGTCTTTCCAAAATAATGACTCCAAAAATGTTGACCAGTTGAGTTCAAACTTGTATACTCTATTTAATTGTTTTCTAGATGAAATCTGTATCTGAATGTTAAATCTGGATTCTTTTGGCTCCAGTTTAAGCCCATTATGGCTATGTAAACAGCCTGTATCCATTCTGTTTTTGTGCTCCCTTTGAGAAGGGAGATACAACTGTAATGAAATAGTCTTTTGCAGGTTAAGGAGGGAGCTCCAGCACTTCTTCAAACCTTACGCGTCCGTTTTTCGAAGGCACCTTAGGGGGAAAGGGTGCTAATATCGTGTAGCTGTTACAAGGCAGCTTTATTCAGGTTTACATTTTCAGAATTACAGTAGTCCTCCAGAGCTGTTCAGAAACTCTCACAGCCATGGTGGTCTAATATAATACTTGAGAGTCACGGGTATTATCTATTTTCTAATTACCCATGAATTAGAAAGATTAATCTTCATGACTTTTTCCTCTCTCACCTGAAAGCTGTCAGCATTACTTACTCATTTTCAGAGTGACTTTCAGTAAGCTGTCACAAATAGCTCAACTTGAGAATAAGGGTGTTTTGGTTTTGATTGTTTGTTTGTTTTTAATCTTTTTCCTCCTTTCCTCCCCACCCTTTGCTTCCCATTCCCAAGGGCAACAGCCATTCTGGCATACTTACCCCAGGAACTCCTAGGTACTTCATGTTATGAATATTTCCATCAAGATGATATAGGACATCTTGCAGAATGTCATAGACAAGGTACGACTGTTAATCAATTGGGTAAATGAATTTAAAGAAATACTGGGAATTACTGTGTATTAAAAAAAACTACCCAAACCTGTTCAAGTCTGCCTGTCTCTTTTTGTAAATGCTTCAATTGACAACATGAATTTTTAGTGAATACTTGAAGCTCCCATTGGGTAAAGGGGTACACTGCAGAAATAAGACTTTTCTCCATACGTGCAGGGAGGAGTTAACTGGATAGTTTTCTGTTATAAGGACTCTGCTTCTGCAGTCATGATGCTGTTTCCCACAAAATTATTTGCTGTCTGTTTTCAGTTTTGCAGACAAGAGAAAAAATTACAACAAACTGCTACAAGTTTAAAATAAAAGATGGTTCTTTTATTACCTTGAGGAGTCGCTGGTTCAGTTTCATGAACCCTTGGACCAAAGAAGTAGAATACATTGTCTCAACAAATACAGTTGTTTCGTAAGTATTTTCAATTTAGCAGATGCACTTATAAGCTGTTTTACGTTATTGTCAGATGAATTCTGGTATTTTCTTTCATTGGGAAAACCAGCACGTCCATCTTTGTAAGAGCTTACAAAGCATTTCTTGGCTCCTGTGGGAACTCCCCCCTTCCACCTTTTTTTTTTCCCTTCGAGGGTTCTGCAGAGCTGCAATGCCTTTGCAGTGGATTGACTACTTCAGAAGAATTAGTCTTGAGAGATGCTGTTTGTGTTCTTGTTGCATACTTTGAGTTGTAACAGTTTTCTCTCTGCTGTTTATCTAGCCTCCTTGTCAGCCCCAATGTTTCTTTGTGTGGTAGTGACTCACAAGCTTCTTAAACCCTGTAGCATTTCATTCTGACACACTGCAGAGTGACTGTTTTGCAGGGCTTTTCATCACTAATTGTAATTCTTGAAATCCACAGCACCAACATACTTGATAGCGGAGACGCAGCCTTCCCACAGCTTGCAGCTTCTCCACATAGCATGGACAGCGTGCTTCAGGCTGGAGAAGGTAACTACTCTGCCTCTAAAAAAGTAGTGGCAGTCATGCCTACATGCACAGATTTGTTGCAGTCTTGCACAGAGAAATTAGTAGTAGTGTAAAGAAAAGTGTTGTTTGAGGCAAAAGACTGCTAATGCAACTCTTGTCCATGTTGTCTATGCTAGCAAGTAGTTCACTCAAAGTAAAGAATAAACAAGGCTGGAGAGGAGCTTGTTCAGCTGCAAAGCAACGCAGGTGTGACAAGCTATTCTTCACTGAGTCTGGACAAAAAGCTCTATCAGATGCTCGAAGCAGATTCTAAGCACCTTCAGAATGTGGTGTACCTAGCACCTCAGAGAGATGTCTAAGAAACACAGCACAGCTGAGCCCAAATCAGGGCTTCCTGTAGGTTTGAAGGTACTCAAGAAGTGGTAGAATTTAAATAAAGTTTACATAGTTCTGACCAGCTGTGGGATTCATAGCTAAATACGAATGCCTTTTGGAAAATATAAGTTTTACCTGACCTTAAGCTACCTTCCTTGTTTCAGGCGGCCCAAAAAGGAGCCATCCTACTGTCCCTGGAATTCCAGGAGGAACAAGAGCTGGGGCAGGAAAAATAGGAAGGATGATTGCTGAAGAAATCATGGAAATTCACAGGTAAGAAAAACCAGCTTGAAGTAATAAGTATAGTTCTGCAAAATGAAATTAAAGAAGTCTTTCTTCAAGCTGAATGCATAATGATGAAGTTGTGTTTCACAAGTAGACAGCTGCAGATACCTATTCAGAATACGTGAGACAGTCGCAGCCAAAAGTGAAAAAACGACAGTTACAGCCTTCTGACTGTCTGTTCTAAGAAACCAGAAACAGTAGGCAAAAAGAGCAGCTAACTGGAAACCAATTCCTTTCCAGACTATTCTGATTCTCTTAACAGCCATCTCATCTCCATCCTGTCGGAGCTGTTACGTTCAGTGGGTGTCACTATTAATTTCAATAGAATTCCTGTCACAATTTTAGGTTTCCCCTTCCTGTAAAAGTGGCCTCATGCAACAGATGCTTAGCAGCAGTGCTATTTGCAATTTCAGTCCCTCTCCTCTAGTTTTGTTTCTGCTCTAGACCAGACACTGCCTATCTAAGAGAATAGCAGATTTAGCACAGTGTCTTTCCTGTATATAAGAATAGGAAGGAAGAAAAAAAGCTATCACTCAGGTTCAGCCAATACTCTGAAACTTGTCCTCCCTTTCAGTAGTTGCAGAATGCTTAGTTAGCTTCAGTAAGTGCAGTAGTATACCTTATCATCCATGTTTCATTTGAAGAGCCTGGGTTAGTTCCAGTCCTTCTTGAGCAGCTCTTACTATTTTCCAAAACTGCCTTCTGTTTTCCCAGAGGAGCTCTGTCAAGGATGAGACTTCCTTCTGTACTGCTTTTCTTTGTAACTGCCCCACCTCCATTTAGTCTCAGGACTTGTTGGTTTTATAGTTAATACATTACTCTATAATAATTAAAAAGTTAATCAAGATAGGGAGAATTGAAATGAGAAATGCTGACTCAAAGGGTATTAAATATATATAATGAGCATACATATATAATACTGTTTTGTGTGTCCAGCACACTTCTCTAGCTTAACAAGTTAGATTTGTGCAATGGAGACAGCTCACACTCTTAGCTGGTGGAAACTGAAGTACAATCATTTCCTTGCTCAATCTCAGTTTAAGCTGCACAAATAAACAAGGGGAAGGGAAGTAGCATGGGAAGAAGGCAAAGTTTACAGACTGGGCAAGCTGAACTAGTTACCCACAACCTTTATCTTACTGTAAATTGAAAGTTGCTACAGGTGGTTTGAATAATACTGAAAATTGAGGAAACTGTACAAATGAATTATGCCACCTGATACTGAGGTCAGCACCCGAGTCTCCAGGTTTCTGATAAACTCATTCCCTGTTTCCCATATGATAGGATAAGAGGATCATCACCATCTAGCTGTGGTTCAAGTCCACTGAACATTACCAGCACACCACCGCCCGATACCTCCTCCCCTGGCAGCAAGAAGGTAAGAACAAGCTTTACAGACAGGCTTGTAATAGTAGTGTCAAACACACTGAGATGATGCTTACAAAACAACATGCGGCACTGAATTTTCAAACTGCTGGGCTGAAGAAGTCTGACAGCAGGTCAAAGTATTCTGGTGTCCAAAATCCCAATACCACTGTCTTTAATATGCAAAGACCTGTGATTCTTAGCAATGGCAGATTTTGAAATCCACCTGCTCTTTATGTTTTGCTCTTTTCTTAATATTAAAGATGAGCTGCAAAGAGCAGCTCTCCTTACATCTCTTGATTGTCCAGAAACTCTTTCACACCACATACTGGTGAATGCAGGAATTGCTATAGTCTGAGCACTCACGGTGTGCAAATGAAGTTACACTGTACTGCTGTAGCACAAAATATGGCAATTAGATGCTTCACTGTGCACTGACATTTTAAGTCAATACTATGTAGCATGCTTCCTTCTAAGATTGCTTAAGTAGCATTCACATACCATTACTAACACTTAACTTCCCAACCACTTGTACTAGCTGCATTTGAGTCATCTAGTAAATTGCTACTTACAGTTGTCATGTTCAAGAACAAGAACACTTATCCAAATCCTTCCTCTGTGCATTCAGACACTGCCACAGATTCAACTTTCTTTCCCAGAAATCACAATGACTGTACATAAGAATTAATTGACTAGAGCACATAATTGACAGTAAATATTTTTATTTCTGGATTTCTTTGTTCTTAAAATAAAACTTCAGGCTGGAACAGTTATCATTCTAGAAACAGTCATTCTTGTTCATTCTGCTCAACACCTACATATTTTAAGTTCAGCTATTCCCTTGCTACTTGTTTAGAATTCCCAAAGAAGGCACTTCTCTTTCTTGCCTGCTCTCATGTCCACAGTGCTGCTGTGCTCTGTACCTAAAAAAAAACCATTAGACTTGAAGTCCAGAAGCAACGCTCAGCTGTGCAGCCTCTCTCTACCTAGGAGGACTGTACTCTGAAAATGGAGGGTCTTAATTGACAGTACTTTACAGGCACTACATTTGTAAATTCAAAAACATCCATGGTTAGCTGTAATTACTCTCACTTGCTTTTTTTTTTCAGGAAGTCCATCCTCTCCCCATTAAAAATCCCATACTATAAAATAGTTTAGACTTAATGCAACATTTCATGCTGTCTTACGGCTTCTCTTTTCTTTCAAGATCCTGAATGGTGGCACTCCAGACATTTCTTCAGCTGGACTACTATCTGGGCAAATCCAAGATAGCTCTGGTTACCCATATTCTGATAACTCCTCTATTCTTGGTAAGTGTAGGCATACAGAAACATGCCTCAACATCAGCTAAACACACACAGCTGTACCAGGATGACTGTTGTTAGCAGTGATGTGCCTTTACCATCTGCAGTACATAGCTGAGCAGCGAAGCTTATAATCTACTGTGCCTTAAGAGGTAGCTACAAGAGGAGCCTGGCAGCCTACTTTGCTAGCTTATTCTTCAAGTGTATTTGGAAGCCTCTTTTCTCTGTCTGAATCTACTTTTTGTGAGTACTTCTCAACAGCTGGGGAGGAGAGAGAGGGTCACAGCCTGGCCATGTCTGAGAGGTGACCTAACCTTTGTACTCTGAATGCCAGGTATCAGGTGTTATCCCTGAATCTGGCTATCAGATCTGATCACACACCCAGAATAGCTCAGCCAGTTCAGGTACTCCAAGTCACGTGGCAAGTGAAACAAAACAGAACAGCTTCTGACCCCGTACTCATTGTATTTATACTTACAGGGGAGAACTCCCATATAGGCATTGACATGATTGACAACGATCAAGGATCAAGCAGCCCTAGCAACGACGAAGCAGCGATGGCAGTAATAATGAGCCTTCTTGAAGCAGATGCAGGTCTTGGTGGCCCTGTAGATTTCAGTGATTTGCCGTGGCCCTTGTAAATGATGCACCTTGCTTCAACATCCAAATATCAAAGTGCATTTATTGGTGGAGTTCTACAGTCTGTGAAACTCGTTGGATGGAGAAGCTTTTATGTATGAATTTCATAAAAGCCATATCAGAATGCAACTCATTCTTACCATGTGTAATGTCAGACAAAGTGGAATAACCCGCTACAGTGTTCCGTGTTGATTTGGTTAGCTGTGTATAGCTTGCAATACCTGTATATTTTGGATTCTGTTATTTGAATTTTTTTTAATCACTGTGCAACTCACTGGCATCAGTGGTAGCTTTTATATGCAAATGACCATTTCAGATGTATGGTGTGTTTTTACACTGCAAAACAGTCCCCATGTGGATATTTCTTATACTAATTGTACCATAAAGCTGTTTATTCTTTCTTGTAAGAATCCTTTACTATAAATATTGTTAAAGTGTAATGTATTAGACAGTTAAATATTTTTAAAATAAATGTTTCCCTTGTTCTAAGATGGAGCATTTACTTTGATAAATAAATTTGATAAAACCCTGCTGAAGATGCATGCAAGAAGCAGTTGCCTATTTATCATTTCTTTAGTTCTGAGGGAAACAGAGAAAAGCAATGCCTTACAGACACTTAGGGAATTTTGCCACTACGCTGCATTTCTAAAGAAGATATTACTTAGAAATTTCAGTTTAAACTACAAAAAATCCCTTATCAAGGTGAGTTAAGGTAGACAGTGCAACAGATTTCTGATTTTAGGAAATGCCCAGTTTTTACTTTTACAATTGAAGTCATCTCCAACCACCCTGAAAAAAGCAAAAAGCAACTTACAAACCTCCTCTGTATACTTAATCTCACTCGCACATAATTCAAACCCATTAAAATAATGGAAATTTTATTTGCATGAAAAACTTGTTTACAATCAATAAATGAAGAATGAACCATTTGCATTTTCCTATTTCATGACACTTATGAAAAATTTAGTAAATAAATACTTGTGAACATAGTAAAGTAAGGCAAAATTTAAGATAAAGCCCCTATCCATTGTTCACAACTTTTGAACATGGCTCACGCTGCAAACAAGTGAAAAAATTCACTGAAGAACTTTAACAAGGAGTTACATGGGTAATTGAATCACGTCCTCAATCCAAAAACCCAATGATAAGTAGCTTTGTGCTCAACCATATGCAATAACTTTAGAAGGGTCAATCTATTCAGAGCAAAACTATTTATAGTTAATACTTTTGATAGAAGCACTTTGTTAGTATTGTGCAATAGATTTATAAAAAATGGCTTGAAATTCCATTTATCAACCATTTGTAAAGTGCTACTATCAATTCCAAATCCTGCATTCTACCCACGTGTAACAATACTGAACGCACACAGCCCTCAGCATCCTGTCAGTTTCGATAGGCTTAAGAGCGAGGACAGTCCAGCATACAAATAATCAACATCACAAACCTACCGGTAAACAAATACATGTATGTAACTGTAACCCCAGAATGTTTTATCTGTACCCTTCAAAAACAATCAGAGACTCCCCTTGGTCTTTCCAAAGGTCCATACTGCAATATCCTAAACACCATTACACAATGAAGAAAACTGGAATTGCAGTGTAGTATGAGTTGAGTACAGAGTCACTGTAATGGAGCATGCTTTTGTTTTGTAACAGTCTAGATCAAAGGGGCAGGTTCTGTCCCTCAGTATCCATCTCACTGTTACTGGGGGGAGGATGAATAGGCAGAATATCCAGCTCATCTACTTGGGGGGTAGGATGCATTACCACAAGCTGGTCCTGGGGTATATCTGCTGCCGCTGCTGCTAGGTTTGTAATAGATTTGCTCTTCACACACTGAAAGTCAACATGCCGGCTCTTTCCTTCCTCTTTCTCCCATGACATCCGAATGAACGGCCTCTGGACATAGTTGTAAATCACCTCTGGTCTTCCGCCTGGTCGCTTTTTCACTTTCTCCTTGTATGTAGGGTAACCTAAGAAACATTACAGTACAGCGGAAGTTAACTTTGCTTTCTGGAGAAAGAAAGCCCTGAACAGTACAAGAAACGTGAAGCATAATGAAGATGAGCACTTGTTTACCATCACCAGCCAGAATGGAAACACTCAGCTGTGCTGTTCTTGATATTATATAAGCAAAGACAGTGCAGAGACAGAGGCTGCACTACCACACAAGCTGTAATAAAAAAGGCTGCAATGCTCCTGATGATGCAGATGTTTCCAAGACAACTCTCCAAGCTTTACAGGCAAAGCCAGTTGTCCTTCTGCGAACACTGACCTGGGAAGCATGAAGTGAGACCTCAAAGAGACCTCAAAACTAGAGAGCAGTGTCACTCTGATCTGTGGTTCAAGTTCCAAGCAGAATCCTAGCATTCCAATTCATCTCGCATCCTCCCAGCTCCCCCAGCTAAGAAAATATAGATTTAGACCAATCCTTTCCTCCTCTGATCTAAGCAGCAATTTTCATTACTAGAAAGTTACACGTAACTACGGCATGTGAGCATTAAGATTGAGTCAAATTGTTGCCCTTTGTCTAAAACAAATGCCAGCAAAAATAATCTGTTATTAGCCAGCATTACAGGTGGAAACAGTTCTTGTTTTGTTTAACGGCACGTCAGCAAGGAGGCTCATGCTTTGTTCACTTGAACTTATTTTAAAGATCACAAGTGTTTGATGCATTTGCTTTTTGTTGGCAAATTACAAATGTAACCATGACAACTTGGTGTGTGAATGCTAGAAATTGGAAAGTGACAAAAGGCTGTATTTTTAAATATTTGGGTCAACAATCAGAAAGAAAATGCAATACCGAGCAGCCCAGTTGTTACATCCATGATAAAAATCTAAGCCAACTAACTGTACTTGTCTTTTGCAATGTCAGAGCTGAGATTTTTACCCAGCCTCCTCAAAGTACAAGATGCTTATTTCAGACTAATATTTCTTTGCACTTCAGTGATGCATTTAATAGGTTTGCATTTCCTAAGAGAAAACATCTAGATGCAACTTAGATTTTTTATTTCAAGCCCAGAAAAAGAAACCAGACCAAGAACAGAACATACAAAAGCTGTAAAAGGACTCTAGTTCTTCAAGTGAAGTACAGCAAGAACAGAGAAGATTCTCATGAAAACTGAAGGGGAACAGCATGAGATGCAGCCCTAAGATGCTATAAACCATGTAAGCTACACTGTAAACATTCTAGCAGCTATGTAAGTCTTGTGGAGCAGCCAAGAGCCTGTAATCAGGTTTCCAGCTGGACCAGTTGTTTATTGACTACCACTCCCCTCAGCCATGTTGTCATCTACTGTCAGTGATGTCATCTACCCTGCAAGGTGAATCAACCCTTATATCTTCAACTGTACAGATAATCATAAAGCCTTACCTTCAATGCCCAATCGGATCTTCTTGAGCCCTCTTTCCTTCAAAACAGACTTGGCCACATCTCTATTTTCAATGTATTTGAAGAATCTATACAACTTCGTGCTGTAAATAACTGAAAGTACATTTTAATGAGGAAAAATTGTATTCAATGATTCAGCTTCTAGTCCTACAAATAAGGTTTCGTTATCTTTTTTCACTGTCCTGCTTTATACAACTCTTTGTTACTTCAAAAGGAGTGGGAAAGACCTAAAAGCTCCTCAAAACACACAAAACAGAAATCAAAAAACTGGCAGAAGGCACTGTGAAACTGATTGGTTGCATCTGGTTATTTTCATTATTTTTCTTATCAGTTTAGTTTTTAATACGTGTAGTGAAAGAACTCACAAGCCACACTAAATACTCTCAATGCATCCTCAAAGAAATTTTTTTCCCCCCCCGGTCAGATGTAATTCCTTTACATATTCTAGGGAGTTCAGTCTTCAAAGTAAGAATCCTGAAATGCCTTCGAACAGTAAAAATTAGCTCCTCTTCTTAATCAGACTTGAATGTAACATGCTTGAATGAAGCAAAATAGTAAACAACTGACAAAGCTAAGTTTTTGTGAAGCATCTAGATGTTATAAAGGCTTCACTGAGAGTGCTCACATACACGTAAGTTAGATGAGCACTTTTACTACTACTACGGAGCGGCTAGGTGGAAACAAAATAAACTTACTTTGCGAATACTCCTCTCCCATTTGTGGAGGGTACTCTTCATCCCAGTCAACAACATCATCATCTGTCAGCACAACAATGTGGCACTCCCGCTCACCACTTTGGGCACTGGCAACCATTAAGGGGAGAATCATTTCTTCGAGGTAAAACTCAAACTGTTTGCGAGCACCGTCATTTGACAATTCATGCATGAGAGCACCTGGAACATTTTAAAAAAGCATTGATACATTTAAAGTTTGGTTAAGAAATGAGGGCAGGAGCAAGAAACACAGAATTCTGTTCACTTTGCAGTATTTACTGCAGACAGCTGTAAAGACATTTAATTCATTAGATTGAATGATCAGAACTTTTTCTGATTTCCACCGTAAACCACACCAGGAGTTCTAACTGATAGCACTGTCCTGCAGACATCCATATTCCACTGGGTAGACAATGGCATGACTTTCAAGTGGACTTCCTTTATGTTTTTACTGCCCTTCAACATGACAAAGTTGCATGCAAGACTCCTCTTGGGTTTCCAAAAACCAGCACTATTTAAGCCTGTTGCTGAAGGAGTAACGCATGCAACCCACTTTTCATAAGCGGTAGTTTAAAACCAAACCCTCTCAAAGCACCAGCTGTGAAATCCTGCTAAGGACAGAGTGCATCCAATGTGACTCAGCAGACAACACGTAGCAAAGCCATGACACTGCTGGTGAAGGCACAGGTGCCCTGTACGTATCTTACAACTGCACAGCCACCACAAGATCACAGCAACCAGAGACATGGGCAGGTCATCTGAACTGTTGGCCGAAGCTTTGGCTGCATTCAGGGAAGACAAGCTGGACATACGCTACACACTCAGAACCACGACGCATCACCAGCAAAACTCTACTGCTTTCATTAGCAGTACAGCTTAGTTTTCATGGGCAGGGAGTTGAATAACTTATATTCCCCCTCTTCTACAAGATACCACTTAATGCTAGTGCATCCCTACCACAGATAAATTAGTACTGTTTAACTATTACACACTTCCAACCAGGGCACTAAAATATTTGAGTACCACATATTTCAATATCTAAAACATGATTTTTCACAAGTTGCATATCCATTTGGAGCCCTTCTTTAAGAAAAAAAAAGGATGGATTTTGTTCATATAGTATCAGACATGTTCCTTATTTCAATAAAGAGAAATCTGCAATTAATCCTTCAGATATTTGCTTAAGTTAGCCTGTACAATTCATTTTAATAAAGTCCATACTTACTGAGATCCCTGCATTTAATAGTACTATACTCAAAAGAGATACAGAGATAGTCACATGCTTCTCTCAATTCAGGAATAGATATCCCATCAGGACAGCGAATCACTCCAGTCTTGTAGTAATCCTGAAATAATACAGTAAAAAAATACAATGTACTTAAACATCTGTTGACAGATACACTTCAGCCTCAAAGTTGAAATTATTTTTCCACAATAAACCCTTCTAAAACATAAATGAGAGCAATATGCATCAAAAAAAATTATGAATATTATTATCCTTGAATTCATAAAGTTTCTGAGATAGCTGCTTTCAGAGCAGCAGCTCTAGCGTGGATCATTTTCTAAGCAACAACTACTAATACTGATCATTTTGTTGCATATATACTGCCTTTTATGTATACTTCACTCAGCTTTTGATATTCCACTTCTGCTGACAAAGCAGTTTAACAGTTTTAGTTCTTGTGTAAGAAGATATTTCCTTCTCAGATTGAAGACTGCTTTTCTCCCATTACGTGCAGAAAAGTTAACTTCAAATACTGGTTGGGTTTTCCCTCATTTCAGCACAAGAAGGGCTGAATATATCTAAACTAGGCCAACTAGATGCATAGGAGGTGAACGGATTTGAGGCAGGCAGTATTTTTTCTTTTGTTGGTCTTGTGTGTTCTCCCTGACTGTTACACACACGTCTAGAAAAGCCAGGGAAAGTTCATATCAAGATTCAACTAAAACCTATTCCAATATTTATTCCATCCACTAAGTCAAAATATCTAGTGAAGGTTAAATCAAGAACTTAACATTTCTTAATACTTAGAGCACTTGTCCTAACAATGTTTTTAGTACTTCTTCCTCCATAAAAACTCACCAGAATTGCACGAAACACAGTGGACCCAATTCCTTCTGCCACTTCATACTCTCCTTTTTCATTGGGACGTGTGAAGTTATGTTCTCTTCCTGATCCAAACATCCTGCTCAAAAATAAGAAATTTATTTAGAATTCCCTACTAGGTGTTGGGTTTTTTTGTGAACCTTAAAGGTAAAAACGTCAAAAATGGTACTCAAATGATTTGATGTGCATTTTCTGACCACTTTTAAAGCCAAAACTTATGTATTTAAATAAATGGAAGCCTAACAGCTTAAAGGCTTAAGGCCAAGAAGCCATTCTCTTACATCCTAGTGCATTCTAGTTAAGCAAGACCTATCCAGTGACCCGTGAGCTGACACTGGGGAAAACAGTTTTATAAATAGCTTGCATTTTAGAACAGTATTTCCATATTTTTATTAACCTAATTTTGAATTGACGGAAGATAAAATAGACTTGTGCCTTGAACCAAACCCTGAGGGACAATAACTCAGCAACACACACACCAAAAAAATCCAGTGCATTAGCCAATACCATTTCTTTTGAGGCTGACATGAAAAAAGGAGACAGTTTCACCATATAACCTCATTCTGATACATCACCAGTTTGTGACATTTCTGTTTATTTATGTATACCTTTATTGTAAATATACAAACGCCTTACATCAATTCTTTAATTTACTTCAGATTATTTGTACTTATTTTCTTTACCATTTTCACAAAATAGTTTTTCTGGCTCTTCATAATTCTGCCCTCGACTTCTCACAAAACAGGGAACCAGGGAACTATTTATCCCTCACAGTGCATATTTAAAGTATGAAACTGTTTCATCATCTATGCCTTAGCAAATAGCTTCATATATACATATGTAAATATTATGTGATTAGGGATTGAAAAAGGTCCCATTTTAATAGCAAAACAGTCAATATCCAAGCAATTAAAGCACAGCATTCCTTCCCACCTACTAAGCATGATGAGTATGTTGCTTATTATTGTTTCTGCAGCAAGTATTAAACACAAGTTATGTGGGCTTTCATTCAACTACTGTCCATTTGCAACATTAGTTCTCTTTGCTGAGAGACTAACATGTTACACTGATAATGCCCATTTGACATTACCCTGTTCTAATGCATTTTAGAAGATAAATCTGAGCTTGAATGCTGTCTGGACAGGTCCATTAAGAAAAAAACACTATCACCAAAAACATCTACAAGTTTTCTTTCATGCTGTTTTGAAAAACATCATCTATGCTCAGAAGTGCTTTATGAAGCAATTAGGTTAAAAAACAGAAAATAGCATAAAGCAGACTGAATACAGAAGTGATGCCAAGCAAGAAGGAAATTTCATATGAAGTGTTAATGTAGTTGCAAACTGCTGTACTAGATGTCCACTGGCACCTCTGCCAAGTAGAAACTCTTTCATTTAAAGACCTTTACAAATTGATAACATCAAGGGGTAACATCAAGTGTTAGATTAAAGTAGCAATGAGGTCAGCTTTTTAAACAGTTCTTTATCTTCAAAAAAATATTTACCTACGGAATAGAGTAATTCAGTAGGTATGAGACTAAGAAAATAAAAAGATACAAACCTGCCCAACATTGTGTTTGGTTGTGCAGTGAAGATAGAAGGATCAACAACAAATCTGGTGTTGTCCACTATGAGTGTTACCCGTTCAGAAGTTCTTACATTCCGAGCTCCCTCTTTCCCATTTTCATACACGAACACCATTTCTCCACCAGCCTTGCAGCTTCCATCTGAACTTGACTGGCTACTGTTCCTGCTGCTGTTCCCCATGCTAACACTGGAACCATTAGGGGAAGTCTTCTGAGGACGAGGGCTGCTTGGTCGAGATGAACTATGATCCTTTTCTCGATCTTAAGAGAGCAAGAGGTGGAGGGAAAAGAAAAACACAGACTTTTAGTTTTACATGAGTTCTTTGCAGTTTGTGTGTTTCCAGAAACATAGTATGGAACACTGATAAACTCATCCAACAAAAGCTATTCTTTAGTTAAAGAAACATTCAAAAGTAACTACCTTCTGTATAAGAACTCAAAGTTTCTACTGTCTGGCCATCATAGAATAGTTTGGGTTGCAAGGAGCCCTTTTAAGTCCTGCTCTCAATCAATTCATCATTCATACTGTACTGACATCAAAGATAGCCCCAACCCAGGTGCACAACCTTTTAATTTGGCCTTGTTGAACTTCAAAGAGGTTCACACCAATGCTACCTTGTCTCCCCAAATTCTTTATTAGAAAAAAAATTAGTATTCCACAGTTGAAAAAGCAGCTCAATATAATACAAGAGCTACACATCACAGGTTGTATTTAGTGTTATGGTACAAAAAAAATCCAAACAAACAAAAAAACAAAACACCCACAAATTTTGTTACATTAAAAAAGTTTTTCCTTTCTACTGTAATGCTAAATACCCAAACTCTGACAAAGGGAAATATTCTCTTCTTAGGAGAATTAGATCATTCTTGCAATTTATATTAAATAAGAATCATAATGTAAGAATATATAAATGTTATCATCGGGGGGGGGAAGGGAGGTGGGAAAAAAAAAAAGGTACTTCCAGCCCAGGGCACACACAAGAAATCTGTATGCTGTGGCATCAACAAAATCCTGCTTTCTATCGCATTCCTTTAACAAACTGGCAATTAAACTTAAAAATTTTAATCCTGAAATGCTAAAGATCTGAACACACCAGAATGGTACTGTCTTGTTGGTGAAGTAACATTTCTGATGCATGGAGTGAGCTGAGACTCTGCTCTTTCATGGGATGAGTCACGAGATCTGTCACTTGATCTGCGCCTGTCCCTTGATCTCTCATGTCCACCACTTGCACCATGAAGGCTCATTTTTGTACAGTCTACTCCTTTAGCAATGCGAGATGAGGTGCTGGAAACAGAAGAGAAACGTTCAACATTTCAAAATATCAGAAATGTACATTAAAATTTTCAAAGACATCAAAACATACATGGAGCATAATTAATATTATCCACATCCATTTTCTTTCTTTGCTGTACTCATGTCTACATTCACAAAAGTAATCAATGGTTTGGAACACTAAATTGACAGCACAAATTATCTGGTTATCACTGTATCGTCTACAAAGAGATGCTGCTTGATCAGTTGGAGACTGCCTGGCAAATCACACTCACAGAAATCCCTTCCAGAACAAGTCAGTCAAGCACAGCTGAGTATTTTATTTTGATTCTTACTGTTAGATTAAGCATTGTAATTGAACAATGAAATCAAAAGGCAGGGCTCTTTTTTATTTTTTTCCAATAAAACCTGGTTTGGAAAACATTTATCAGAGTACAGGCTTTTAGAATAGACTTAGCTGCTTACTTGTTTCTTTAGGGTTTGCTTGTTTGGTTTTTGCAACTTGCCCTCTACAAAGGAGATCAGCCTTACACAGTTAATGCATCAAAACATACCAGCCATGAGTTTACTTCTGTGCTTCCTTTTTAAAATTGTCAATTACTCTCATAAGGAACAATAGAGTAAGAGACCACAACTGAGACAGCACACTTATGAAGTGTACTATCAAAGCTAAGACTCTTAGCACTGTCAGTAACAAGAATGACATTTGTTCCAAACTAGCAAATTTTAATTAACAGTTTAAGATTTTTTTTTTTAGGCTGTGGTTATGTTACATTTCCTAAATTAAAGATACTGATTCTATTTTGCAATTAGTTATTAAAGCTATCAACAAAGCCTCTCAGTTTCAAGGTCCAGTACCTTCAGAAATTGCCTAAAAATTAAACAGCAATGTACAAAAGTCAATGCTGAATTTCACTGAAAAGACTTCTGCCTTTCATTTGTACTCTTTAAAATGATTTTATATCAGCAGAGAACAGACATCTGTGTCCTTGCACCCCACCAGAATTCTTAAATTAGTTCCTTTCCTATTTGTCATTTAAGCACAGACATGACAACACTCCTTATTTATAAGAAACAAGCTCAACTGCAGAACTTTCATGGAGCCCCAGGCACGGTGTAACCAAGACAGAAGTGTGGACAGCTACAGGATCTGACAAAGATGGGTCACCATTTCCCACAGAGCCTTGATGCCCCATTTGCTTGCAGCCTGTGAATCACACAGCTTACCAAGAGACCTGAAACATCACTGCTAGGAACACTGTAGAATTCAAGAACAAGAAGAGGTAAGAATCAGGACCTAGCTAAGAAGGGCACGACAACTTTAAAAAGCACTGACTGTAGAAGCAAGTAGAGCAGAACATCCTCTTAAGTTACTTAAAAGTCATGACCAAACCCCACCCCCCAAGTTTCCCCACAAGACTAGACCAAGAAGTAAGCATCTAACAATATCTAGCAATAACACCTTTCAGCTTCAGGTATCACTGACTGATAAGAAGAGGAACATAAATTAGAACAAAAGACATGATAAATCTTCAGTAGTTTACAGTAGTGCTAAAATTGGCCTCAAAAGGGTATCAGTACAAAACAAAGAAATATGTCCTTCGGCTTTCCCCCATACCATTTGAAGGAAAGAGCTTGTATCCAACAAAGGAGGAGTTTGGTGCAGAGACAATCTACTGCAATACTGTTTCCTGCCAAGCTTGAAATATGCTGCAATAAGACATGCATCTCAAAGTTGTGAAGTCAGCCAAAGGTCTACTGACTGAACGAGGCAAAACAACTGCAAGCCTTGCTCATGGCTGGAAAGGCTCAGAATTATGAGCTAAAAATTAAGATGATTGAAATATGTCCATTAAAATAAGACAGCACTCTCCACGGGGCCTTCAGTGCTATTTTGACTGGGTAAAGATGTATGGCTTTTCAGCACAGCTAATGCATCTCCTTACCTGTTTTGCTCCTCTAATAGAGGAAAGGTAATTCTGCATCATAAAAGCGAAATATGCAAAAGTTCACAAGGGTGAGATGGGAAAATCTCTCTTTCAAAGGCATCAACAATTTAAGAAAACCTTTGCACCTTTTCTTCCCCATATGCCTGTGTATATGAAATACAGCCTTTAAGCAGGTATGAAATGATCGCAAAACATCAGAAATGGTCAATTTGTAGCCTATAGTTAACATTTAACTCAAAACAGAGGAACCCAGTTTATCCATTATCCAGAATTGATCAGTAACATACAGCTGAACTTCCCAGAAACGGTCACAGCCTTCCTGCCCCTGAAGCGTGATGTGCAGATAGCAACCAACTGCCCCACACAATCATGCATGTAGCAGTCCTGTAACAAAGCACCTCAGCAAATCCTGATAAAGCCACGTGATCACCCTTTGTTAACAAAGCATTTCAATCCTAGCCCTGATAATGCTTTTAGCCACGCTGCAAGAAAAGCAGAGTAGCGCATATACAGCATTTTACGGTATCAGAACATATGACTGCCCATTTCTGAACAAAGTGCTCCAGTTTCCTTAACTAAGGGAAATACAAGAGAAAATGAAACTGAACCTCTGCGAGGATATCTGAACCTATCACACATTTTGGCAGCGCAGGCACAAATTACTCTTTAACAGGAAAGGCAATTAAAAATGTGTTTCTTAATTCAGCAAACTATCTTAAGCCACATTACACTCAAAGCAGTGATTCAGAGTTCACATAGCAGTGGGATGAGCCCTGGTTAATAATCTCTCTCAGGAGAAAAACAGGTGCTACAGCAAGCAACCTTGAGTCATCCAGAACCCCATGAGGGAGGGCTGGAGGTTCAGCCACACACCCACGTTCCCACTGCGGTTGCCTTCCAGTACCTGAAGGGTCCTACAGGAAAGCTGGGGAGGGACTTATAAGGGCATGCAGCAACAGCACATGGGGAAACGGCTTTAAACTGGAAGAGGTTTAAACTAGATATTAGAAATTCTTTACTATGAGGGTGGTGAGACACTGAAACAGGTTGTCCATCGAGGCTGTGGATGTCCCCTGCCCGGAAGCATTCAAAGTCAGGCTGCACAGGCCTGTAAACAACCCAGTCTGGAGGGAGGTGTCCCTGCCTATAGCAGGGGATGGAACTAGATGATCTTAAAGGTCCCTTTCCAACTCAAACCATTCTATGGTTCTATGAGACAGCACCATTTAAACATGAATCTTCCCTCACCTTATTAACAGCCATTTAAGCTGCTGTTGAATCACAAAAGAGAAGAAATTCAGTGTATTTCTTTGGTCTGAAGATGTACCTGACAGAAGTCTGCAGTTCTCTTACGCTATAGCATGTACATGGAGATAAACACTACCAGTGAAATACAATGTTGTCCAGATTTAAACTCCTTTGTTTGCTTTGTACATTGCAGAGCAAAAAACAAAGAAAGGGACTTGAAGAGCTGTGTCAGTGTATCAGGTGTTTAATCACCCTGAAAAGGGAGCTACCAACAAAAAGGAAGGACAAACTGGGACATATTTTACTAGTAAGAGGCTGTAGAAGTTGCAAATGTTCAATGAAGTATGAAGACATCAAGACTACTAAATATACTTTTTTCCCCTAATAGAAGATCTTTTTCTTCCTCTCACAACAAAGCCACTAGGACAGTTTCCACTGGGAAATGCAAAAAAAACTCTGCATCACAGCAGCAATGCAAAGCCTGCTAAGAGTTACTTGATTTAATCCATTATCAAGTTAGACCAAAACACGTGCTGTCTCTCCCTATCTTTAAAATAATTGTAAGCAGATTTTCAAGCTGCTAATTGAGACTTGCCAGTGCATTTTGCAGATGAAGTCTTAACCTTTGGTAGAAATTGGAGGTAACGAACCTGTCCCCAATAATGCAGACAAACCAAAGGAGTGCTCACGCAGGGAGCTCTCCATTGTGTCACTGCAGCCACTGCCCTGATGAAAGAAGGAAGGACAAAAGCAGAGCAGCCCTACTTGAAAGAACAAACTGTTAGCAAGCACTGTGGTTCATAGAACATTAGGCAGCCCAGATACAACACCAGTACTTCCCAACAGCAGTGAGACACTGATAATTAAAATTGCCAGGAAGCCACTGGTCTTATGCAGCACCTGGCTGTCACACTATATTAATTTGTAATGTCTCAGCCTACAAGAATGAAGAGTGTTCTGGGCAGTGCATTATTTCAAGCCTCCAAGAAAGTCATTATAGTTTCAGATCCCTATTTCTCTAAAAGAAAATACTCACAATTCCCAACTTTCAATCTATTTCCCAGATGGTTAACATCTGCACACTGCACCTTGGGAGCTGTGGATACAACAGAGGAACAAAAGCAGCATCTAAGCAAAATGTTATCCCTAGATGCTTAATAACAGCACTTAATTTAAAACTAGGCTGGAAAAAAAACATCACATAGGCTACCCTACGCAGCTAGTTCACTGAAGTTTACCAAGAGAAGGTCAATGCTGCCTTGCTTTGTCAGTCACCTTCAAAGAAGGCAGCCCTATGAATATTGGTGTACTCAGCCTACACAGAATTTCACTATATTGCTTTTCCTGACTCCAAAGGAACACTGGGACAGTAGCACTGCACCCATTCAAGAATGTCTGATAAGTAAATGAGTTTGTTTTCCTATTGAGTCACAGATAAAGACAGCTCTGCCTTTGTAACAGGGAAGAGGCATTTTCTTCAAATGCAGCTATCTAACAAAAAAAACCAAATAAGCTAAAGGCTTTAAGGAAGCCTATTTAAAGGACTGGAGGAAAGTACCATCAATATAACACACCTGTCATACCAGTATGCTTAGTATTTCTGCAGTAAAGGAAGAGCTTTCTTTAAAAAAAAGTGAATGCCCTTCAATTTAATGATGCATCAAAGTCACTGGAGAAAGAAGAGCTTCCATGTCTTTATACATAACAACATACCGCTATGAACATATTACTAATAACTAAAAGAAGTCATTAAACTGAATTAATTTCACTGCCAAAACAATTAGCATGTATTCCAATAGAAAAAGTGTGCGTGCATCCTACTGAACACTGACAACAAACACATATTTGTAAAACAGGCTCTTGTCTACAGAATTATGGTGGTAAACTAATACAAAAGCCAAAGAAAACAGCCATGAAAAAGCTATAAATCTAAATGTAGAGGATGCAGCAGTGGATTATTTGTTAAGATCTTACCCCTATTTCTCAGCCTTTATCTTCTAGACCTATATGAACTAACTCCTCTTAACATAAGAACTTAGATCCAGTCCATTCCTAGGATGATTCACATAATCAACACTTGTAGAACGCAGATAAAGAGCTTTCTATATACAATAAGTACCAGCAATACTTCTGCAAGGCATTAGAGAAATCAAATCCGTTCTGTTCCTATCACTAGGACTTACACAATGCTTATGCCCCCCCTTCCTCCCTCTAAGCCTGTTCTTTGTCAGCAGACATGTAAATTGACCAGTACACAAAGGACAGCACTCTCCCCTTTACTCATTCTGCTCCTGAGCATTACCCACAGATTATTCCTTTTAACACATACACACCTTCCTCTTGTATCTATCAGGGAGGAAACACAAAAGCACGGAAATAATTTGGGAATCAGAGCACAAAGGAATTCTGTTCCTCCCAAGAATACAGCCTTGAAAGCCAGATCAGCATCCTTTGGCATTACTTGTCAAGTTCAGCATATTTGGTATTTCCATCCTCTCTTCAGCAGTCCAGTGCAGCACGAGCGAGCCGTACTTTTTCCTCCATCATCTTCCCCTCAAGGATAAGAGATCGTAGCTCCACAGTCCATTCAGAGACGCACCCCCCTCTAGCTATTAATTCAGCTCAATTCCTCGCAGCCACTGACTCAGCCATGCGTAGTGCGATCCTGACGTCTGACCTCGCCGCCTCCTGCCAGCCCAACTCATACTCTCCATCCCGCATCCCCGGGCGGCCATTGGGCGATGTGAGTGACAGGCAGCGTGAGGAGCGCACGAGCGCAGAGCTGCTCGCTGCCGTGCCAAGCACCATCTGCGAAGCTATTTTTGGTCCTGCCAAGTCGTCGGCTTTCAGCACACAAACACACATCTCCAAAGGTTATTGCTAACTTTCACTCGTCACACAGCTCGTTTGTGCTCATCATCGTCCGCAGTGCACAAATACATGCAGTTTCAAGGGCACTTGATGTCTTCCTGTCAAGTCTGCCTGGTTTAATGTTTGAATTGAATTCACCTTTCACTGAGCTCACGAGCAGGTATGGCAATAACCTCCTGAGAACAAGAAGGCACAATCCCTATGTTTTAAACTGTAAACATCCCTTTTCCAGCAAGTTCATTGTAGGAAATATCTGCTATGCTTTTCAGCAAAAGACCACTGCTAGAAAAAGGAAGTCAGTAAGAAGAAACACAAGATCCGTGATTAGAAAAGCAGGGCAGCAGCACTCTCAGCAGAGGAGACCATTCTCACGAGGCAGGAAAAAAATCCTGTGTGCACCATTTCAGTCCCCTGAGCCAGTGAATCTTCTGTTCTTAGCATTTCCTGAGGGTTCATGCAATGACCTTCCAGAAGCAGAAGAGCCATCACAGTCTAAGTCATTCCTTCACATCAAAATAGCTCACGGAAGACATGGCTGTAAGTAGCCATATAGAAAGCATAACGGGAAAGTCTCAGGCATTTTTCCTCCCTCCTGCAATAGAGTCAACAAGCAGCAAGTAAAAGTGCAAATGTGCATTGGTTCTTTCAGCACTGGTTCTCTATATGTGGTCTTTCCATCAAAGATGAACTAGCATGTTTTCTTCTTTATTCCAGCTCAGCTAGAAAGAACGTGCCATGGATACACTAGTTCTGATTCTCCCCTAAAGCTGCTCAGCAGGCCAGGACACACAACCATCAAGAACCTGCAAAAGTAAGGTCTGGCAGCCACACGTAATGGGGCTAGGCACAAGAAGAAAGCCCTTGGGCAGAATTCTCTACTCCAACTGGAGAGTGCTATAGGACCTTCCCTCTGTTCCACACAGCAGTTCTGGAAAAGATATTTCCAGCTCCAAAATTCTTAAATATTCTTCAGCAAGCCCTATCAACTACCAACAATGTATTTCTCAGTAATTCCATTCTATTTCATGAAGGAAACAACAACATTTAAAAATCCGATGTGTTCATTTGCCAAAGGGACTTTTCAAGCAGCAAGGAATTAATCTTCACGTAATGTAAAGCCACACTTCATGACTTCTGTCAAACTACTCAAATACACCACGTACAAGAAAACAGGTTGCCTTTATTCACATGCCAGCAATTCCTCCTCCATTTTCAAAAAAGGGTTTTTTTTCTTTTAAATATCCAAGTTAAAGAAACTAAGAAGCATAGTATTCTTCATTGGGAGTGGGAAGTATGTCCATCTATTAAAAGTTACCTTCAGAAGTTCAAAGGAATCACATTCAAACACTTACTGAACCTGTGTGAAGCCTGCAGCATCCTACAAAACATTCAGTGGCAGAAATCATATTTATAAGAACAGAAAAAGAATAATCTGTCCCACAGTAGAAAACCTTATATATTCTGATACCATTGCAGGGATGACAAAAAGAAACTCCTGAGGATGCATCATGTACTTAGAAAATGCTGAGGCAAGTTGCACGTTCATTCAGAACTCATGACTACATCCTTTTCTAGCATGCAAAAATAAAATCAGACAAGAATTTTCAGCCTTCAGCATTTGCACAGTAACTTATTTCTGGAAAATTTTTCAAAGTTCAATATTTTTTAGGACTCCAAAGGTTCAAGTGTCATGAAAAAGTCACGGCACAGCCACGTTTTGGTCATTCATGCAGTAGAGCAGACAGGATTTCAAATCTAAGAGTACTTAAACAGAGTGACCAAATATGGAAATACCATTTGGTACTGACTAGAGGAGCAGCAAAGATATTCAGGAAAAATCTTAAGAAGGAAGAAAGTTTCAGACAGATTTCCCACCACTACTCTACATTAAGTACTTAGCGCAACAGAATTAAAATGAAAGTCTTCCAACAGCTACTAAAGCCTTTTGGAAGCTAAAAACTAACACGAGAACTTAATAACCAATGAAAAAATTAATGGAAAATACAAACCAGCAATACCTATCAATGAAAATATTAATGACTCCTTACTTGAACATTAGTTGCTGTTCAGTCAACATTTGATCCCTGGAAGTTTTCTTCCATTTTACTTAGGTACTGGAATAAACACCAGGTTTTCTTAATAGCTTGGACAAGCAAGACAGATTGTATCATTAGCTACACTCAGTTTTAACACCATAATTTCATCTCCCCAGGATCCTTCAATTTTTCTAGGGATCACTTGCATTGTTCTTGTTTTCCGATACACTGCCCACCTCAATACAAGTAAGAAAAAGGAGAGAACATCACAACTTGCCAGAGGTTTCAAAAATTCCATCTGATTCTCAATCTAGAAAAGGACACATGAAGCTGTGCAACTGTTAAATATGAGCACCTCTGAGTGTTCTGCACAAGTCCTCTGCATCAAGCAGATGGCACCATGAAAGAAGTAGGGCTCCACAACTCTCCTTGCTGCTACACAAACTAAGCCTTACACACAGGAGGATGGCTCACACTCCTGGATTGTTTTCAACAAGTCCAGACAATTATTTAAGCTATTCTAAGAATGTCAAGGCTGGTGGATTAAACACCACAGAACATCAAGAAGTGTCCAACTAAACATCTATCTTAAATATTATTCCCTCATTGAGATTCATTATAAAGTTCTTATTTCATTATTACAGTTATAAAATCTGGAGTATTTTTTTCTGATGACAATAAGGTATGTTTTGAAAGTGCAAAGCAAATAAGACTGCAGTAGTCAAACCTTTTAATGAAGCCATTTTCTTCCAGTTCCACCCTTAAGATTTGTCTTTTTCTCACGTTGCATTTTTCAGACTTATTTCTCTCGAGAAAAAAAGTGTCCATTACATCAGAAACTATAATAACATTTCTACTTTCAGCCACACAAAACCAGATTTAGTTTAGGCTTTTAAATAAATACACTATTTTCCAATAACTTGATTCAATGAAGTAATCAAGGATCTCAAAGGAACAAGGTAACAGAATATTTCTCCTTACTTTATACCTTATTCTGTTATAACCTCAGTCTATTACTTGGTTCCTTATTAACAAAGAGTATACATTATTCAGATAAAAAAATATTACTTTAAACACTATCCCCCTACCCCACGTACTAAAAGCTTCCATAAAATGCTGGCTGTTCAGCATTCTGCTCAGAACACCTACTATGTTTCACCAGAATCACATCTAACTCAGCAGCAGTTATTTCAGAGGCATGCCTTTTGAGGGAAGAACCTTGAATTCAGACTAAATGAAGTGATCCAAGTCTTTCTCAAAGTACAGGCCATAGACTTCCTCAAATAAACTCCACATTAACTCTTTTGATCATGTGATGTTACTATGGATTTACACCTATTTAACTGCCCATCAGCTCCTTACAATTAAATTCTGCCCATTCCTTGCAATACCAAGACCGACAATGACACAGTTTACCCAGTCTACAAATATGTCTTTTCATGTGTCTTTTTCTGTGTTTTTTGTTCCTAAATGTTTAACTTTGCATTTAGTAATATTAAGAATGCATGGTTGTCTGCTCCCAATTTATCAGACTGCTCAGATCACATGCTGTTAACAAGTCCTTTTCATTATTTACTACCCCCTCCATCATTAGCCATCTGCACCAATGTCAGTTTTAGGTTGCATTGCGTATCACCATCATGGGAGGCAGTGTGGGACCACAGATGAGCACCACAAACTAGACTCAGCAATGAATCATCCATTTGCAATTACACTGTGACACTGATAGTGAACAGCCCTCAATTCACATACAATGCCCTCTAATAACTATACTGTTCATTTACCAATATTGCACCACATTCTGACCCTAAATAAGAAGCACAGATCGAGCACTTACCAGACACTAACCTTAATAAAAATAGCAGCTGTACAAAACTGCATTTCATAGGCCCACACTGACCAGCAAGAGTTTTGCATTAACCATTCCATTCTTCACTGTAAAGTAACATCTCAAACAAGCCTATAATTGCATGGGTCTCCCTAGGAGCTTTTTAATTACCAAAGCATTCTTTTTTCTTGCCCTCTCAGATGTCTCAATTATCCAACATTTAATGACAGGACAATAACCAACAATATTAATTGCTCACAGAATGCTTCGGGCAACACAGCAGTACAGTTTATCTGAATTTATATAATAAGAACATGAATTATGTTGCTGTTATTGAATGTTCTCCTTAGCTCTTTTCCTAAAATCCTTAAAGTGGGAAAGCTTAAAAAAAATCAGCAGTTTTAGCTAGATAACAGATGTTTTCAGATATATTTAGCACTTCTAAAAGGCAAAAGTACTTCAGAAGATGCACTTTTTTTTTTTAAATGCCTATATGTATTTTCAGCACTGTGTTTCTTCACATATATTTGCTGGGTACCTAATAGCTTGGCTTAGATCATTTTTGGAATGCTTGATGCTAGAAAAACACTAATTAACTTCATTATGTCTTCAAAAAGCACTTAGGAAACATTCTTGCAGTGGGGGAAGCAGAGGCAAGCAAGATCTGACAAACAGCTTTACAAAGAGAATGCTACAACATGTGACACTTGCATGCAAGCAAATATTAATCATCACCATGACGGAGTTGCAAGTATTTTAAGTATGCTGCTTAACAGAGTGCCCATCTAAAAAGCAATGAACAGGAAGTAAATCCCAGAAAGCATCCCATATATTTGGCCACTCAACCAGTATCCTGATATACACAAAAGGCATTCAGTTTAATGAAACAAAGATCCCATAAACCACAAAGCAAATGCAAACACAGACAGGGAAGCTGGCAAATCAGTTACATTGGGAAGCATCTTTTAAAATAGTTAAGTAGCATTTCTTTAGAAAAGAACCATGAAATTTATGACAGGACTTGCCACAACCAGATACAGCAGCCTTTAGAACAGGCTTCCAATGCAGTTTTGAGATGCAAGAGATTGTATGCAGCACCTACCTTGAATGTTTACAAAGCTTACGAGGTCTATTATGCAATTTCCGATCCCAATTCTCTGGATCACTGGAGTTACTGTCATAAGGATGAGGCCGTCCTGCCATTCCACTGCAAGTTTCCTCACACAACCGCTCTCAAAAGCACACATGCAGCACTCACAACCTACATTAAGAGAGCAGTGTTTACCTTTTAAAAAATG